ACCCCACCCAGCTCCTGGCACCCCACCCAGCTCCTGGAACCCCACCCAGCTCCTGGCACCCCACCCAGCTCCTGGCACCCCACCCAGCTCCTGGAACCCCACCCAGCTCCTGGCACCCCGCCCAGCTCCTGGCACCCAGTGAAATCAGTTAGCTGGGCGGGATGCCAGACAGAAGTACCGTGCACCCCCTCTCCACCATTAATGTGCACCCCCATTCACCTTACCCCACCTCCCTGGCCTCAGATCGTTAGAATTGTAAGGACTCCCCTGCCTTTACCTATTGTTCTCCTGATGAGTTCTTATTGTCTATTTCCATTTTTTTTTACTGTTCAGATTTAAACTTTTTTGTTTCTTTTTTTCCTTACATTTTTTTTTTTTTTTTTAGTGTTGCATATAAAAAAAAGCAAAACATTGAAGCAAAAAAATTTATTTCATTTGTAGATAACTCTGCCAGGCTTTGTACCCAAATCATTTTCTTCCTCATTTTAAACAACGCAATTTATAAAATGTATACTAGACATTCGTTTCGTTCCTGATCAAAATTTGGACGAATTTTCCGAATCCCAATGTATCTGAATGCGTCCGAATCCGAATTTCCCTTTCCGAATCCCGTCTGAATTTCGTTCAAAAACTAAACTGAATGGGACTTTTCTGGCCAATCAGATGTGTTTTTCGGTTTAATGCCTCCGAATGGGTCTGAACACGGATTTTCGTTACGGAAACATGGGAGCCACATACAGTATATACATATAATACTAAAGCTGAGGCTCCCAGACCCCAATGGCATTCAGGAGCTCCCCAATGCAATTTGGAAATCCGGATCCCGGATGCCATTGGGGTCTGGGAGCCTCAGCTTTAGTATTATCTGTAGATGGTTTTCTGTTGTATTCGCAAACTAACGAAAATTCGGATTTTGTCCGCATCCGAAATCCAAACTTCATTGATTTTCGGATCCGAATCCCGAAATATCCAAACCAAATTTTTCTGCAGCTTACATGTCTAATGTATTACTTTGAATCTACGGTATACTCAAAATAAAAATGTTTTTGTTTTTTTTAGTTTTGTTACTTTTTAGTCCATGGAATGCATAAAAAAGAAAAAATATGCATTGACAATCTCACCGAATCTATGTTCGCCCATAAAATGATTTTGATGTTTTACTTTGTTATCTTAAAGGAGAACTGTGGGGTGAGGTCTTTTCCCCATAGTTCTCCTTAGGGTAACGGGAGGACACAAACTAGCGTCCTCCCGTCACCCTAGGCTCAGTATACCGCGAGCTGTAGCTCTCTATATACTGAGACGCCGCAGCTGAAGCGGATCCCGACAATTGTGCCGGGATCCGCCCAGCTGCGTGACTGACAGCTGGCTCTGCCTATCTAAAGGCAGAGCCAGCTGTACCTGCTCCCTCCCCCTCATAGTTCTCCTTTAAGTAATGACAAAGCTATTGCAGAATAAACAATCTCATAGCTGGAATGTGAGACTTGCTCTGGCCCACAGGGGGGTGTACAGGACCCGGTGATGGTTGAGGTCCCGCTGGAACATTGTGTTGGGAAATGAAGAGTGACGCACCTCTGACTCGTCCTGTACGCCGGCGTTCTCTGCTGGTTCTCAGATGATAAATGAGCTGGAAACATTGTCAGAGATCTTCTTCTACTAAACACTTTAATCCCACCAGTCAGGAGTCCAAATCCCCGCTGTACATAGACCTGCCGCTCATCACTTACTGGAACCGCGCAGCAGTGAGATCACCGCCGTCGTCATGTGTCTGACAACACGTTACAGGAGCCAAGTCATATCAATGATTTGGAGGGGCGTCCCAATACTTTAGGCAATATAGTGTGTATTCAATTTTATCTCTTTACTCCCCGATATTTAAAAAAACAAAAAAAAACAAACAGACCATCGTGATTAATTAAAATGTCAAGTTTTTATTCTTATCTCCTGTATATTAGTACCAAAACGTGTTGACAAGTTCAACTAATAATAATCCCCCCCCCCTCCTATTGTGGAGGATGGAGATGAGTTATTCCAGGGACGGGCCATGAGGAGACAGACCTAGCGGGCTCAGTGTTCAGTGCAGTGAGGTTTAGAGTTCCGGGACAGGGGGCATGAGATCCAAAATAAAAAAGACTAAATTGAGGGGGTCAGAGGTCACAGGATGAAGGGCATTATGGGGGAGCGGAGAGGTGGGTAGTCCTTGAACTCCTTCAGATAGCTGCGGTGTTTTCCTTTGGCCCAAATTGTCATCTGGATGAATCCGACCAATGAGAACAGTGCCACTAGGAGAGAGGGAAAGGATATTATATATACAAGTGTTGTGGGGAAGTCATCGGATACATGGGAGCACGGAGGAAGACTTTCATGGTCCCATACACAAGATCAGTATAGATGAGACCTTTCACATAGACAATATGGAGCCCAGGGCCCACCCCCCCTTCCCCAGAGCACAATGGTGGAGACATCTCCATACTGGTACCCATCTATCTCCTTCATAATGTGACACAATCAGCTGCTCCAAGGCCTCTACTGCACTTTTCTGGCTGAGCAAAGCCTACGTCTCCTCTACACCAAGAGCAAATCAATGACCTGATTGGCCGGGAAGCCGACTCTATGCCGCCTCGTCACCAGGGAGAATAGAGCCGGCTTCTCGGCCAATCAGGAAGCGGGGTGGCGTGTAATGACTCGCTTGAGGGAGCATGGAGGCGGCTTCCGGGCTAATCAGGAAGCCCGGGGGGCAAGTCATTACATGCCACCCAGCTTCCTTAATGGGACTTCCGGTTTCAGTATCTGCGAGTGCTGAAAAAAAATATCGGTAGGGTTAGGACTTTCCCTCAGGAAGTCACCGATACCAATTACCGATACTTTTTCTTAAAGGGACATGTGACATTTTTTCTAAAACAACACAGACTGATGATTGTAGGGCAGTTTCTCACCCGGGCTACATACACATGCCCCCACAGAAGGACACATATCCCCAAAGTAGAACTCATCTCACCAGGCTACGTGTCGATCTCACCCGGGGCGACATGTGGACATCTGTCAGTCGGAGGGGGGAACCCCCAGCTTCTAGCCCGGGAACTTGGACAGCCGCTGCTGTTTAAAAATTTAAAAGGGCCGGTATTGGCCTTAAGAATCGGGGAAATTTTCTCAAGTGAAAATACCTGGTATCAGCCCCGATACTAGGATCTAGTATCGGTATCGGGACATCCCTTGTATTTATATAGCGCCGTCAAGTTATGCAACGCTTTACATAGTGCACATTCACATCAGTCCCAGCCCTCGAGCAGCTTACACTCTAAGGTCCCTATCTCCTATGTATACATACAGGGCCAATCTAGACAGGAGCCGATTAACCTTCCAGCATGTCTGTGGGGGTGTGGGAGGAAACTCCTTGCAGATAGTGTCCTGAGCGGGATTTGAACCGGGGACTCCCAGTGCTGCCAGGCAGAAGTGCTGACCAATAACCCAGATAGATGAAGCCATCTGGTGTCTTATTTCAATCTATGAATATTAAGCTCCTTCCTTGTGGACATGTGATCTCTAATTGGGCATCCAGCTGAAATATTTGCACAATTATAAAAAAAAAACACAAAACTAAAAATACATTTTGTGAAGAAAGAAGAAGTCTCCTTGGAGGTTTGCTATACTCACCGGGCAGACACTGAGTCATTATGGCGAATCCGATCCAGGAGCCCACCTGAGACACAAAGAGCACAATATCAGACCCGGGTCCCGTCTATGGCGGTGTGTTCTCCTTTAACCAGTTGACATCCGCGGTGTTAAACCCCCTTCCCATCCAGGCCATTTTTCAGTGTTCAGAGCTGCGGTACTTTGACTGACATTTATTCCGTCATGCAGCGCTGTACTGAAATGAATTTTATACCCTTTTTTGGGGACAGATAGAGCTTTCTTTTGGTGGTATTTATTCACCACTGGGGGTTTTATTTTTTTACTATATTAAGGAAAAATTACCGAAATTTAAAAAAAAAAACAGTTTCCCCTATATTAAATGATAAAACATTTATTATTACCCAATTTTTTGGTAAAATATAAAAGATGGGGTCACGTCGGGTAAAAAGACACTAAACATGTCAAGCCTTAAAATTGCGTGCGCGCGCGAAACCTCAAAAAACGATAATACCCAAAATTGGCCATAGGCGACGCTTTAAAAGCTGTTACCGCTCATCAGTTTAGTGTTATCAGTGATTGATGGCCCTAAAATGATTGCTCTCACTGCGACGTTCGCGGCGATATGTAACATGTGTAGCGCAATTGTAATTTTTGCGCGCTGGGGCACCGGACGCGTATTTACGTTTATAGGCGCGTAAACGTGGGGGTGGGGGAGTTAAACATTTTGGGGGTTTTTTTCCCCTTTTTTTATATCTGACTTTTATTTTATTTTACTTTTTTATATGTGACTTTTATTTATTTTTATTTATATTAATTTTTTTGCACTTATTGTTATTGCTATTATATAGGGGGATAACAATCCCCCTATATAATAGCAAAGGCACACTGACAGGTCCTCTTTATGGAGACATTAGGGGGTCTCTAGGACCCCTAATATCACCTGTGGACCCCAAAAGAAGCTGATGAAGCAGAGATCTATGGGGGGCGGGGGTTGTGCGGACGCAAACGAGCACATATAGGCGATCGGCGGGCTATGGACCCGCTGATCGCCTATATGTGAAGCACCCGGTACCGGGTGTTTCGCATTGGACGGGTCTTTTCTGCCCGTGCGTGCCTGCCAGGGGGCGCGCGCAAGCAGAAAAAAAATGCAGTCTGGCGACGGCAACCCGCCAATGCAGCAGTGACGTCCGTCCGTTTTTCTACTACGGGCGGACGGCAAGAGGTTAAATGAACCAGTCACCCTTACCTCATATGTGTAGTTGGGGCAAGACACCAGCAGGAAGAGCCATGTGAAGGGGTTACGTGTCGGGAAGGGAATTTTCCGCGTCTTTGAACCTTGGAAGGAAAATAACACAATGGCAGGTTGTAGAAATTATTATTGTTATTATACGGGATTTATATAGCGCCAACAGTTTGCGCAGCGCTTTACAATGTAAAGAAGACATTACAATCACAATACAATTCAAGACAATATGGGAAGGAGGACCCTGCCCCTGAGGGCTTACAATCTAAAAGGAAATGTAGTAATCATATGTGTAGGTCCAACACATGGGGGGATTTATCAAAACTGGAGCAAACAGAATCTGGAGCAGTTGCCAATGGCAACCAATCAGCTTCTCTATTCAGTTTGCTCAGTTGAGATTTGAAAATGAGAGATAGAAGGCGATTGGTAGTCGTGCAAATCTGCTCCTGATTTTGTCTGCTCCAGCTTTGATAAATTCCCCACCATTGAGTCATTAGAACATTCAGCTCAAAGGGAAACTTCACCCAGATCTTTGAAATGACAACAAAGACCCCTTTTAGAAATGTTTAGTAATGACGCTCCACACCCAGATACTTCTAGATCATTGCCGGCTTTGTATTCTTTGCATACCCGATTTGGTCTTTTCTTTCCCAGTCTTCTGACAGCGGCCATTTTTACTAAGGAGAGATTTATCCATCTCCCTTTACTTCCTGGAACTCCGGCACATGTGACTAGGTCATGTGACCATGCACATCATCTCAGGGGAGGAAAATGCCTTTCCCTGAGATCTCGTGAGATTACAGAGGAGATTTCCCAGCAATGCTCTGCTGATGTCACCTTCCCAGGATGCAACGTTTCGGCACGATTACATCACTGATGCCCTCGAGGGCATAACTTTATTGTTATCACATATAAGAAACCCTACCTACGTGATATCAAATTACAGTGACGGGTCCCCTTTATGGAGACATCAGAGGTCTCCAAGACCCCTAATGTCACCTAGGGACCCCCAGAGGAGCTGATGAAGCACACATCTGCTTCACCAGCTTCTCCCCGGCTTCAGTACGAGACAGTGACAGAGGAATGGGGAAGTGACATGGTAAACACCACTTCCTGCATTCAGAGACCGGGGAGGAAAGCGGAGGGAGATCATGTACTGAACTCCCTCCGTTCTCAGTGCACGGAGCCACATCGCCCATCCCAGATCATACGCCCGGGATATCGGGGACAGGAAAGAGAGGTAAGGAGGGGGCGCACAGAGAGATGCAGCATACAAGCGATCGGACCGCTTGTATGGACACAGCCATCGCTGGCTGTTTCAAATTTTGGCGGTTTCCTGCTCGTGCGCACAAGGGGGCGAGGGCACAAAGGACGTTTAAAAGACACCCACCCGCATGCAGAAGGCTCCGGGTTTCTGCATGCTCCTAGGCGCCCTCTGATGACCATAAATGTCATCATTCTGCAACTACTGGCAAAACTCTTGTCTCACAGTGATGATGCGACTCCAGTTCGCCATCAAATCAGTCTTTTCACTTGGTTTCTACCTTTGCGTTTGTTCAGGCCTACCAAGTGCTTTCCGCTTGTTCCTGTGCTCTGTGTACGATCCGGGTTTCCGTCTACTGATCTCCCGGTTCCTGACTCCGGCTATTGTACTCGTTCATCCTGCTCTCACTACGTTTGCAGGCCTGGCTCAGCTGACTTGCCGCTTTGGCTTCTGACCCCTGGCTCGGCTCTGACTACGTCTTGGATTTACCGATCGCATTGCTTATTATCACTTTCTTAAACCCCTTTATTTTCTAACCTGCACTTTTAGCTTCCGTCTGGTGTCTTTGTTCCCTGACAGCATAACACCACCATATGGCTTCATCGCATGCATTCATATACATTTATAGGATATTTTATATAATCGCATGTATGACATGGCCTGTATGAATGAATACCAACAGGGTAGAGACAACAGCTTAATATGAAGACGGTACCTATAAACTCACCGGCTGGCCTCAGGTTCCTCAGAGCGATGTGTATGGAGAAGTTACCCAGCTGACAAAACTGAGAAGCACAAGAAACAAATTATAAACTATCGAGTCTGTAATATACAGTATATATATATATATATATACACACACACAGTCCACCATCATATGGACCTGCAACAGTAAAAACTTTATAGTGAACACTGACATTGGAAACTTTGAAGCCCCCGTCATCCAGAAATGGTGAATACTATAATCAGACGTATTTAAAGTGACAATAAACTCCGGAGTTAAATCTAAAAAATACATTCAGGTCTCTGAACTCTTTACAATGTCTCTTATTTGTGTATCACTCGGCTGTAGATCCTCCAATCATCTCTGACACTGTCGTTCCTTCTGGAGGGGGGCTACTTGTGTTCCCCATGATCCCTGTGTGTGTTGTAAAGTAGTCACCGCTCCAAGCTCGCTCCCGGGATGGACTACAATTCTCAATATAAATTAGTAAACTAAATGTGTGATTGTAGTCCATCACAGGAGTGAGCTTTTGGAGCGGTGATTAGTTTACGACACACACAGGGACCATGGGGAACAAAAGTAGCCCCGCCTCCAGAAAAAAGGACACCCCTTCATGGGAACAGTATTCTCTGATGGCAGTGGCCTCTTCCAGCAGGATGATAAGTCCTGCCACACTACAAAATGGTTGAAGACCAACAGCGAGTTTGAGGTGGTGACTTGGCCTCCAAATTCTCCAGATCTCAATCCAATCGATCATCTGTGGAATGTGCTGGAAAAACAAGTCCGATCCATGGAGGCCGATCACCTCACAACCTACAGGACTTACAGGATCTGCTACTAATGGCTGGGTGCCAGATACCACAGCACACCTTCAGAGGTCTGGAGGAGTCCATGCCTGGACGGGTCAGGGTAAGGGGGACTTACTCAATATTAGGTTGGTGGTCATAAAGTTATGGAAGATCAGTGTATGTGGCAGCATGGTGGTGGGCTTTAAATCCGATCAGCAGGGATCTCCAGTGACATCATTTACCATATATGGACTTTCCGATTTGTAGTAAATGCTGAAGAGAGAGAGAGAGCTCTTTCCCCTCTGTCATCAGCAATCCATGATCATTTTGGTATGTCAGTGTCGGCAGGGAGAGAGAGAGGGGGGAAGGAGCTGGCACACGGGGACGTGCAGGTAAGGAGAGAGCTGCTGCGCATGTCCATATATTCGTGGACGCGCAGCAGCTCTCAAGACTCACAGTCAGTCATCAGTGGGGAGGATCCCGTCAGATACGTTGGGATGCCTTCTCATTGCGGCGCTTAGCCCCGCCCACCACCTAAAATACGGTTTTACAGCCTTACTGTGCATTTTGGCTAATTAAAGTAAATTACATTATTTACTTATTTAGCCTAAGGAATGCATTCATAAAAAAAAGATAGAACCCCATAGTTCTCCTTTAATGCTGCTCTGCCACATATTTCCATACAGCCAGTGCAGAGAATGCAGTGCGCCCTGTGCCCCTCCCCCTCCCATAATGTGCTATCAATGACAGTTCCCAAATGTTTACATTTGGGAGCATGTAGGAAGGGCTCCCGATCACATGATCAATGTGACAACCAATCACAGTGATCACATGATCAGGAAGCCCAGGAACCCAGGTGTTGAGAACCCCATTAAAGGGCCTACGGGAGCACGTGGCCAGGAGTTAAGCATACTGTACATATAATCTTATAGAAAGTGTTTTGCTGAAACCGATGATCTGTTGACGGGGTCTCCATAACCAACCAGAATTCATTCTGAGGTCAGACCAGTAGAAGGTGGATTCTGATTTGGTTAGGGGACTTACAAATAAGAACTCTTTACTGAATACAGACATTGTGTTCACAGCTTGGGCCTAAGGTCAGGCCAATGACAGACCGGCCTGCAGAAAAGCCATCTGTACTAGGAGTCCACTGATGCTTCTAATAGCCAATCAGTGCTCTCTCTGCCTTCCCATTCCTCTACCAAGGCCCCTATATTGTCCATTTCCGCCCCTTTACTCAGTATGTAGGTGAGCAGGCACAGCAGGAGGCAGGCGGAAGCCGAAAGGAGAGCCCGTTTCTCATTTTCACCAGCGTCTATGTGTGTGATAACCCCACAATACAACCGTGAGTACTCACCAGAAATATGATGACGGCAATTTTCACTTGTTCTTCCCCAAATGCTGTTGAACAAAAAACAACAGAGGATTACGTCATATATAGGACATACCACTCACCACTCCAAACTTCCAGGTAACCCAGAAACCAGAATATTGTTAACCTTCAATATTAGAGGAGGTGTGACGATAATGAGATCTGATGAACCCCCAAACTGAGTAGAAAGAAGAGGTATTCGTAGGGTACACAGTGCCACCCTCATTTATCAAAAGTTCACAAGTCAGCCCTGGACACGAAGCAGGCCATTATATCCCATGAAACTATGTTAGCAAAAGGTCATAAAACCTGCCCAGCCCAGGATCAGCCGGATAATGTTATTAACAGTCACTTACAAAGCCATCCACAACTCTGCCCCCCGGCTATATCTCAGACCTTGTCTCCAAGTATCACCCTAACCGTCCGCTCCGCTCATCCCAAGACTTGCTGCTTTCCAGCTCCCTCGTCAACTCCTCCCATACTCTCCTCCAGGACTTCTCTAGAGTCTCTCCCATCCTCTGGAACTCTTCACCCCAACCTGTCCGTCTATCTCCCACTCTGACTGCCTATAGGCGTTCCCTAAAGACTCATCTCTTCAGGGAAGCCTGTCCCACTTCAACCTAACCACTCAACCATCACGTTCTCAAATAATTCATCCCCACACAGCTCCCTCCTCATGTATCACTGGCCCCTCCCCTTTTAGATTGTAAGTCCTCAGGGGCAGGGCCCTCCTTACCGTCTTGTCTTGAACTGTATTGTGATTGCAATGTCTCCCTTATATTGTAAAGCGCTGCGCAAACTGTTGGCGCTCTATAAATCCTCTATAATAATAATGACCCGGTCGTCAGTGGCTAGCTGGCTGTTGTAAACGGCATTAGGTCACAGCCCGTCAAGCCAGAGATATTCAATAAAGCCCTATTGTGAAAACATTCCAGGAATGGCTTAAAGCAATAGACTTCCTGTTTGTTTGGGTTTTGTTTTTTTTAAATGCCAGAACCAAAATCTATTCTAGAAATCCTGATATAACAACACTATATTCACGACAAGCGTCTGCCCAAAAGTATAAGAAAATAACAATAAGGAAGTACATTACATCTCCTGGCGATGTGCGCTCCCAGTTTATGCGTTTGGTCCCTATCCAATTCTGTGCAGTAATATGTTGGCTGTCTGATTGCACAACATGGTCACCTGGTAAAATTGATGCATTTGGAAATCTGGCCCTGTGGGAGTGTCTGCTGAAATATCATACGGGCTCTCATCAGAAATTAAAGAATCTTTCCCTCTTTTAGAAAGCCGCCATATTTTAAACTCTGCTAAGGGTTAGTTCACACCAGAAACTGCATCACAACTGCGTGCGTCTGCCCAGTTGCATTGCGATTCGTTTTGATGCGTTTCTGATGCGGTCGTTTTTGTTCTGTGCTAAAATGCTAATTAGACAATTAGGTCACTTCCTCAAAGTTGCTGAGAAAGAGAACTCGCCACATTTTTGTTTTTGCACCCTGTTCAGACCACCAAATTCAGGGTATAACTTGGCTGTTATCTCCCTCCACTTTGCCATCTTCTGGCCATTGTTTTTATAGTTAGGATGCTCGGGATCATAGAGCAGTGGACAGCCCTCCACATATTTGATGAAAATGTCAGCATCCATATCAGCCATGGCTCCACTGTCTCTTCTACCTACAAAGAGGAAGTCCCTGGATGATGACAATCAATTCTGTGGGGGGGTTTTTTTGGATGCGTTCCGTTGCATATCGATGCGTTTTTTTATGCGTTCCGGTGCGATCAGATGTAGCTGAAATAGGACGAGCAGTACTTTTTTCTGACTGCATCTGAACGGACTGCAATGGTGTGAATACATCACGAGAAAGCCCATAGGAAAGCATTGTGATGTATTTTGGCTGCAGCAAACAAACTGAACGGACTGCATCACAACTGTATCTGGTGTGAACTAACCCTACGGCCTCGTTCACACCATAGGCAGTGCGTTCCGGTCCGTTTCTGGCCGGAACGCAGTGCCCGTATTGCGGTCTGCTCACTTTTTTGCTGGGCTGGAGGGGGCGTGGCGGGCCATTGAAGTGAATGGCACTATAGTCACGCCCTCCGGCCGCAGGGCACATTGTGCCTGCAGTGCGTTCGGCTGCGGTGCGATAAAATGCTGCAAGCACTATTTTGATCGCACCGCAGCCGAACGCACTGCAGGCACAATGTGCCTTGCGGTCCCGTGCGGGCGATTGCAAGGCGGCCGCAGGACGTGGCTACGGTGCCATTCACTTTAATGGCCCGCCACGCCCCCTCCTGCCCGGCACAAAAATGAGCGGGCCGCACTGCGAGGCAGTGCGTTCCGGCCAGAATCGGACAGGAACGCACTGCAACTAGTGTGAATGGGCCCTAAAGCTTCTAGATTTAACAGCACACACAGCTGCAGTTACAAAACAAGCCAGATAGAGACAGCTTCATTTACAGATCCCCTCCCGCACTTTCCCTCATGATGGTCACATGACAATGATTTGTCGGGGCTACTAAACATATACTTGTATGGAATCACAGCATGGTGATATATGAACACTCACCTGGAGGAGTATACAGGGGGTGATTGATGTAGTACGCCATCCAAGCAGCAAAGCCCCAGTAATACATACAGTTCTGCGAGAGAGAGAGAGAGAGAGAGAGAGAGAGATGAGGGGAACGTCTTCCAGCAAATCATAAAGAGAAAACACGGGATAGAATGTCAGAGATAGAATGCTGCTGACCCAGACAAGACACAAGTCTCAGTTCCGACACATTAGGCGGCATTACCCGAGAGATTGTTCTTTTCCGGCTCTTGTTGGATGAGATTTGTGACAACAATGATTATAATAAAAAAATAAAGATGATTATAGCTCAGAGCCGCATTTCTCAGCCTTTGGAACACTGAGGAACCCCTGAAATAACTTTCATGTCTCAGGGAACCCCTGCTGATAATTATTATATCTACAGCTCACAGGACAATAGTGTGAACTCTGTTGTGAATAAAGGAAATAGATGAACAGAATAAGGAGCGTGGTGCATTACAACAAATAATAAATGTCCAGAAAAGAAATGCAGACCATAAAAATTGTAATGACCCCTACATCGGTGGTTATTGTAGTGCCCATTGCCAGGTTACATTGGTGGTCCATGGAAAATGCCCCCTTAGAATGGTGGTCAGTGTAGTGCCCCCTTACATTTCACATTGTGATCACTATTACCCAATGACTCCCCAATTACAATATCCTCAATTAGCTCTGCATTATTAGTGACAATTAGATCTAAGATGGCATTTTTTCTGGTAGGAGTCTCCACCATCTGGTCCATGAAATTGTCGCGCAACATGTTTAGAAATCGCCCCGCCTTTGCCGAACCCGAAGTTCCATTGGCCCAATTGATGTCTGGGTAATTGAAGTCACCCATCACGACTACATTGCCCTCTCTCCCAGCTATTCCTATCTGTGAGTGAAGATTGACTTCTCCCTCTTCCCCTATATTTGGAGGTTTATAGCAAATACCCACGAGAAGTTTACGGCTAGCGTCCGTCATATCTAGCTCCAGCCATAGGGTTTCCACGTCTTCCCCATTATTTGACGTGATATCGTCCCTTATATGCACATATAGATTATTTTTTACGTAAATGCAAACACATTTACGTAATAACCCCTTACATTGGTTGTCAGTGTAGTTCCTCATATCAGTGGTCAGTGCAGTGTCCATGTATTTTAGTGATCAGCGTATTGCTCATACATTGGTGGTCAGTATTTTGCCATGTTACATTGGTCGTCCATGAAGAATACCCCCCTTAGATCGGTGGTCAGTGGAGAAAGCCCACATTACACTGCCTAGTGGGGGAAAAGGCCCCTTACATTAGTGGTCCATAAGACTTAAAAATGCCCCCCCCCCTCCCCCACAGATAACGTAAAAGATCATTGGTGCTTATCTGATAGTTTTACCTCTCTTTGCCCAAGGAAGCCCTAATGACATATGGAGGAACCCAAAAGGGCCACAGAACCCGGGTTATAAAAGGCTGGTTCAGAGAGCTGATCCTCTAATGACCGATATCCACCATGTACCACACACATTTATACAAAGTGAGAGGAACTCTGCACAGCAACAGGGTACGTGGCATAAAGACGCACAAAAATCCCGTTCTGTTTACAGCACAGCGGTGATCATTACAGCGACAAGCAGAATAATATATAAATGAGTCACATATATGAGCCTTTAAACAAATGAGGCATAGAAAATATCTACACAAAGACAAAAAAGCAATATAGACAATAAAAAGTCCCCTGATGAAGTCACGTGTTTTGACGTAACGTACGTAGGGCGGAGCTTCTGATGTCACCGCACTGAGCTGAGCCGGACGAACAGGTTTTTTTTATCGCTTTGCTGCCATTTGCCCTGCTGGTCTGATCCAGCAATACCCAACGCCTGTACTGTTTATATCATTGTGAGTACGCATTTTGTATTTAATAAATTGCATTTTATTGGACGTTACGCACTTTGGCCTTGTCCTTTTTCTCTTTCCACCTGAATTTATACTGGTACCTGTGATCTGAGGAGACCTTATCGCCTTTTTCTGTGCATGGGCTTCCCTCCCCCATTAAGAAGGGAAAAGTAGGTCTACCTCCCCAGGTGAGCACTCACTTGATGTCATCACTCGCTGGGTGGAGGTGAAGGTCTGCCTGCATTGTGTGATTAGCCTTACCTGAGAGTTATATGCAGATTGGCCGCGAATCATCTGAGGAATTTTTTTTGCGCAATCACCATTGTTAGCTTTTGTTTTTTCCTTGGGACTTTTTATTGTCTATATTGTTTTTTTGTCTTTGTGTAGATATTTTCTATGCCTCATATATGTGACTCACTTATATATGTTTCAATTGATTAGATATGTATGATTATTAGCTCGGCACAATATTGTTTTTCCCATTTTTCAGATATTTAGATATATCCTTAGTGCTTGGTAGCTCTTATTTCCCCATTACACTTACTGGCGCTGATCACCTTTTATTGTTTATTTTAAGCAGAATAATACACAGCCAGGCGAGGAGTATGAGGAGGATTACATTAGAATACCTAGTGAGTGAATTACTGTATATGGAACCAGTGAAATCATACAACAAGCTCACACAGTCTCTGCACCGCGTGTGTGTACTTTAAGCCCTCGTTCACACCTGAACGTTTTGTAGCGCGTTCTACGCTCGACGAACGCTCTACAAAACGCTAAAACATCTAAATCCCATTGTATTCAATGGTCTCGTTCCCACCTCGGCGTATTTCCGCCCGTCCCTAACGCGCTACAAAACGGCCCACGCCTGAAAAGGTCCAGGTACTACTTTGGGCCGTTTTTGTTGCGAGTTTCCATTGGGATACAGGCAAGTAGCCCTCGGAAACGCGCGTTTGTCGCACAATTTTTTTACCGCAAATGCAATACGCCTAGGTGTGAACCAGGGCTAAAAAACCAGCTTACTCATTTTTTAAGCAGACCTTCCGTCGCAACATGTTGGGTCACGGTGCAAAGTCCGACCTCTAGTGTGTCACCAGCGCTGCCTTAGATCTCCGAGCCACAGATAATCGGGATAAATAAAGAGCAGTTACCTTAAAGATGTTCCGCAGCGGCATTGTGCCGTGAGAAAAGCGATGTACAAACAGAGTCTCCAGCAGACGCTTTATGTAGTGAAACGAATGGCAGATGCAGGCCAGGCTGGAGGAGATAAAAATACGAGACATAAAATGTAAGATGGAATTTACAAAATGCTGCCCTACCGTGTGCCGACATCAAACTACAGAGTCTGAGCGCCACCATTACAAATCACTCTGCCCCAACTCCATTGATTAAAGACACAAAAGACCATACATACTGGATTTTCTATCTGGTATCTACCCCTGGGGCAGCCATTCTCAACCAGGGTTTGGCTGCTAAAAACTATTTCAAGGGTCCCTGTGGGGTGAGAAGGTTGGCAAAGGATGCCCTACAGTTACTGTAGTCTTATACAGAAAACATAAGCCCGGCAATTTTGTTTTTTTTAAGAGCCCGTGGACGTGCATCATAAAACAAACTTCCCCCTGTGAACAAAAAAAGTGAACCGTGAAATCACAGCACACAAAAACGTGCACAAGGGTGCTTGGTCCTTCAATAAAGAAGGGACCTCGAATTCCCGACCCCCCGGGGCGCAAGGCTCCCGACAGGGGTTGAGATACTTTGGTCCACCAACCCGGAGGCTGGCGGACCCCGATCCTTCGGGGACCTGCCGAAACAGGTCCCACCAAGTACTAGGCAGGGGGCTCTCCCGAAGAGAGACCCCCTGGTTCGGGAGGAGGCCGAGAACCCTATATGAGGGCACAGAACCTCCTCACCCTGCATCGGGAATAGGCCCCGAAGGTACCTGCACCCTAGCACTCTGTGGGTCAAAATTTACAAAAACACAAAAATGTGCCAATCGTGCATGAGGTGCAATAAATAAAGGAATGGTGCCCTATAAGCCCTGCGGCGTCCCACCTACTATGAGAGAATGATGGTCATCGTCACACTATGGGATACAGGAGAAACAAAGCATATGAGGCCGTAATGTCTGATGACTCCAACCACTGGAGACTCCAGTAAATAAAAGATGGTGGGTGACTTTTATGCGAGCTAAGACACGAGGTCCTCTACTGTTACATTGACAATTCATCAGTTATTTAAATGTACCAACCAACCAATTCCAACCATTGTTCATTGGATCAGAAACTATTACAAAGGAACCGAGTGTAAGGGGGAGGAGCTTTGTTTTCCTTTCTGCATAAGAATAGGTGTCACCGGACAGTCCTCTTTCACTATATTCCCGGGACTGTCCTGCGGCTATGTCATCACCGTGGATGGAATACTCACTGGACCACCGAGTGCCGGCTTGTGATGAAGTCGTATTTGGGGCCGTAAATAAAGGGGACGCGGAAGTAGAAAAGTAAATAGATGATGAAGGGTCCGGCGTACTCGGTCAGGAATACCTGAGGGCAAAATGTACAAATTTAGAACATGATGAACACACCGCAGGGTAATACAACTTTACTATAACCACCAATCACACGTAGCAGGGCGCTGTACATGGCTGCTGGGAGGGGCCAGCAGGGTACTGTACATGGCTGCTGGGAGGGGCCAGCAGGGCGCTGTACATGGCTGCTGGGAGGGGCCAGCAGGGTACTGTACATGGCTGCTGGGAGGGGCCAGCAGGGCGCTGTACATGGCTGCTGGGAGGGGCCAGCAGGGTGCTGTACATGGCTTCCTAAAAACAACACACCCTATCTCAGAACTCCTCTCAGGGCCCCTCAGCCCCGATGCAAGCTGGCTTTTGGGAGGAGTTATGAAAATATCAAAAACACCTTGATGGGCGGGTGTCAGTCTGGAGGAGTGGGCGTTCCTAGGCAGGCTGCATTTGCATATAGTTTATCTAGGCAATGCCCACATGTAATGCTGATCCCCCATGTGAAAGAAAGGGGCGGGCTGTCAGGCTGGGGAGGAAAGAGCTCGTTCAGAGGTATGCAAACTCCATCTGTGGAAAAACTACAAATCCCATCATGCAGGCGAGCATTTCTTTGTTATTTTTGCACCTAGAAACTGGGGTTGGCAAAACCAGAGACTACAGGAGGCCCCCAGCACAGCACTGACAGCAAGGGGGGTGACATCACTGGTGTTGTCCTCCAGCCTCCCTTCCTCCAACCTCATAAAGGAGGCTTTGTACCTCTGTAGAGACCTAGAGTCTGCAGGTAAACCATGCAAGAGCCTCAGGGATGCACTGATCGCAGGTGCGATGCTCTGCAGGCTTTAATGCACAGAGCGGTATATGTCCATCGGCCATACGATCGGCGTTGCTGCATTTATTACAAGGTGGACTGCGCCTTTAATCTTTGCTCCATGGCAGCCACGGCTTGTTTTCCCCGACGCTGAGCGGCCACATTTGCAGAATTGCGCGGCTGCCTGTCTATGGATACCGCACATGGAGAGAATGGAGAGCGGTCCGCCTGCGTAGGCGCGCGCACACATAGCTGCCGTTATACTGATCCTGGCACAGCCATTAGAACAAGAACAGGATAGCGGCTGCTCGCGTGGTGCCAAGTGCCCCTCAAACAGCAAACATCAAAGTCAAGGCCGAATGTCCCCTTCCGTGTAATACATACCGGAGTACAAGTGTCTGCAAAGTGGGGGTGCCGCCTCGTGTGGGGGGGAAATGTCAGCTCTCGCCGTCCAGTAGCGTGGAGCTGCTGCTCTATTTCGGTGACCCTTTCATACCCCCCCCCAGCTTGGTGAAGGGTCCTTATGGGTATAAAACTGACACAGGAACTTGCTGCGTGTCATTTCTGACTTCCTGTAGTCATTTCTGACTTCCTGTAGTGCCCCAAATACTCAGATGTGCTGCTGTTCAAAAAGCAAATCGGCTCCTGTGGTCTCGACGACAACTACTACGATGTCAGTGCTGGGCCAGGTGCCCCCTGTGGTTTCTGCCCCAGGTGTCTCCGTATTGGCTTCTTATTGCAGTAAGCGGCTTTACCAACCAGTGATGTGGCACGGGGGGCGGGGCCACAGCCGGCCCAAGAGCTGGTCGCAATTCGCATGTCAGAGCTTCCTTTTATACAGGGCCCTCAAGGGGCTCTACAGCAGGGGTCTCAAGCCTCCGGCCCTCCAGCTGTGGTGAAACTACAAATCCCATGATATATCTCTCTCTCTCCGGGAGTCATGTCTGTGGCTGTGAGAATCTTGCAATGCCTCATGGGATTTGTAGTTCCACCGCAGCTGGAGGGCCGGAGGTTTGAGACCCCTGCTCTACAGGCTATTGAAAAAATGATGTGCGCACACTTGCAGGGAGCTGCCACTGACAACTCTTTAATGGTTTAACCCCTTCGTGACTGACGACGTACAGTGTACGTCGCCAGCATCGGGGCTGTTTAAACAGACTCCTGGTGACTTTTGCCGCCGGGAGTCTGTTTAAACTTGTAGAGCCGACTGTCGGCTTTACAACAGAAGCGATCCTGGCGACTTACCTGTCGCCAGATCGCTTCAGCGTCCCGAAGAAGGGGCTCCCCCCCC